AATAGCAGCTTGAGTGCAAGTCATGAAGTAGACATCTGAGTAGAATATTTTCCACCCTCAGTGGTTCAAAATTCCAAAAGTCTCGGCGCTTCGTCAAACCATGTCCAGCTTGCTGTTTGCAGTTTCATCATCTAGTACCTGCTTTTTCCGTCTGAATGACATGTTCTAATTTTGACTACTATATTCCTCTATCAATATCGTTCCCGTGGAACCATACATGATGTGCCATTGTGAAATCGCGTTGCCTGCCTCTTCCGGGAAGAACGGGCAATCCCTCCGTTGCTGACTGTTATTATCTTTGTGATCTTGTTGATCATGGGCAGGCGTAGTCTTGCTACTACGCCCCCATGTGCCAGAAGGCGGGCAGAAGTTTCAGTTCACCGATTATCCGCAGTATTCTTATTTGCGCAAAAGCCTAAACGGCCGATAGTAATTCGGGCGGTATAACGTTCGAAAACAGAAATTCTATGAGGGGCAGATGGCTAAGTTTTGCGCGAGACCTCGTAGGGTTTCAGAACTTTCTACCTTTCATCCCGGCATGAGAAAGGCAGTGTCTGCGGTGAATCAGTCATTTAATTGTATTCCGTCTAAACAAGAAATCTGCTTCTCGACAGCTACTGTGATCGCTCGATTGCTGAGATCATTTTTTATGCGTATCGTTTCCCTTTTGCATCGGAGACGTTGCAGTGGATTGGGGATAATATAGCGCTCATTGATGACCACATTAAGAATAAATTGGATAAGTCATTAAATTATTCTATTGGGCGATAGGGATAATGACGCTATGAACAGCTGTATCGAGCTTATCTTGCATTGCTTCCTACCTTGAAATGTTCGGCCAATCTCAGGACGGCAGAAATCGTCTAATATTTGCTAAAACCTAATTACACTAAAGCCTAAAACGTGTCCGATGCAAATATCTCGAGATTGCACTGTATTGCATTTGGAGGATGCTTGCGCTTCCACCGAGAGTTGGTCATTCATCGTAAAACGAAGCGTAGACAAAATACGGACAGCATAGTTTTTCGACATTTCAACCGAAGCGGCGGCCAGATGTTTCCAACTTCTTTACTGACTTGCTCGTGCATTTATATTCCGTGCTCAGTCATGTTAGCCAATCAGCGTTAGCACAGTGATTCGATAGGCACCGATAATCATCATCTACTTTCAATCAGTCGAACTGATCTAAGTTCTATGCAACGGGACTGCTGCCCCAAGAATCTCGTGTGCAAAACAGAAGCAGAACTGATGTCATCCAATGAAAATTGTTTGAACGAGGTACAAACGCGATTAATTATAAAAATATGTGAACTAACAGCTCAGAGGATGATATAAGAGCAGATGGTTCAAATCGAAGAGCGGTCTACATTTTTCTTATTAACAGTCGGTTCGTTCCTAGAAAGAATTCGTCTAATGCTCTTCGATCCAGGTGGCCAAAAAAGTGCAGCAATTTGATGAACTGCTGAATAGCGCAAATAATATGATGTTTCAGTGCGATTCTCCTACAAATTACGAGACTCATGGCCGTGTTATGTGACCTATGCACTGTACTGCAGCAATTTGCTTTTGTTCGATCAATCAATCAAACGAACCTATTGATTAATTCAGCGGAAATGGCATGTAAAATCCGGTTCCGACTGACCTTTCAGCAATCACTGAGCTGCTATTATAACACTAATGCACAAAAAACTAAACATAGCATCGACACAGTGAATAAAGAATGACGACAGTATGACGATTTGGCTGATAGCTAATTTGTGTAAGTGAATATCTAAGTGCATGGACAGCATGAAATGATGGATTCGAGCTGATTCCGCTTTTCGTGTTTCTCGTTCTGCATGACCTGAGCCATTTTTGGGATCACTCATTTTCTATATGTTGCAATCTTTATTCGGAATGAGATGTTGAACCTAATTTTGAAAGAGCCTGGTGCAAGAAATGGAGATGATCGGTTATGAAAGATTTTATAACCTTATCCACCGTGAGTTTCGACATTCTCATAGGATAGCCTTGTACGGTTTTATCGCAGAGAAATCAGGGCTGCCTCAAACCTCGAAGACAAATAAAAATGCCACGTCGTAAAACGAATCAGATCTGGAGATCGAAAGAGCGGTGTTGTCGACTAAAAAAGTATTGTCTATATTAAGAAACCCATTTTAAGAATGTTTTCGATGAATTCGTCTTCGCATGGACTAAGTGAAAAGTGTCAGAAATTTTTGTGGGGTGCTTGGCAAATACATATCATTATTCAGATTGCCGATATATTGAGAAAGTGCTAAACGAGAGTCCGCACGCAACGAAGTTTATCATGTAAGGCACATGTATGGCAATTCTGAAAAATGCTGTAAAATATTTCCTGACTCATTAATAATAGCTGCTATTTTTTTGCGCTCATAAATGACAGAGCATCTTTATCGAAATGCTTGCGATTCCTCGCATAAAATTTAATTTTCACCACTTTTTCACCACTTCATTAACCTGTTATACGTCGCTAAAACTAACCCGTATTTTCATGCTTCAACTGAAGTATTTATAAGAATAGTAAAATCCGTATTTGCCAGTGATGACTATACCGCCCCAGGATGAAACAAAATGATTACTTAACGGTAATGACTGAGGCAGTGAGTATTATAATTACGGAAGAAGCGTGTGAATTTGAATCTTTCGAAATTGCGAATAAGTTGATTGCCATCTGTGGTTATTTCGATCGCAAACGCTCGGTGCGTGTACTTCTAACGCCTGATTTGCAACGCCCTGCTATAGAGAGCAAAACATCTGTTTGATCAGTGGTATGAATAAATGTTTTCGAATTTGCATATGTATTGCATATACTTATCCACTTTGATATAACGAATTGTTCAGCATATTCTCTCATATAGAGGTCTTCATGCGGGCCGTTTAGTGTCTCGTTCTTAGAGGCCATTTTAAGCTCTCCGTGGTCCAGTGATGATCGGTTCTCTTTGCAGAGGTGATTGTTTTCTACGAAAGTTGCGAAACGATGTCCAAGCACGTTTGTTTCGCCTTTTTCATATTTGCTGATAAGTACCTCCGTGTCGTTCATCCTTTTTCCGACCCTCGCGTTTACGTTTCCTTGAATATCGTGCATGTTGATTGATTCTTGGTGCGTACTGATTCCTCGTTCCTCATAGAATTGCACGATTTCCTCATCCTGAGGCTGTTGGATCAGGCTGTGAGCTTAGACGTGTTTTCATTGATGTTCGTTTCTTCCGTAGTGGCAAAAGTGCTACTAAGCTTGATACAGCCTTACTTTTTATCATGAACGCAACCTCGCCAATCTGAGCTCGGTTCTCGAAGGCTTTCTTGAGAAACGGTTTGGTCGGCGTTGTTGCACATGGCAAGAAATTTGGTGAATCTTCGGATCTCTCATACTCGAATCACTTCTGCCTTGCTCTTTTCTGTTTCCGTTATTTATTCGTCTGTGAAGGCGTTTGTCGATGGCTTTGCACGATGACCTTGAAAACCTTCCGGTTCCGTCTATCAATCGTGTGCTGCAGTTTACGGAGTCTTAGGGCTGAGAGGTCGCTCAGGCCGACGCGGTAGTCTGCACCCACTTTTTTGCGATGCTTTTTATCTCTGAGTGTTTTTTGGCGAGTATTTTTTTGGCAGTTCATTTGTGGTGCGTACCCTCGTGAACTGTTGTAGACGTCTTCGCAATTATCGTCCAGTTCAGTTGACTTCGATATGAGTGGAGTACTTTGCGAGATTTTGATCGCCAAAAGATATCATTGGCGAATGGTGTTCAGAATCATTTCCTCAGCCTATAGGAGTAAACCCAAACCTCATATAGCGGGAGTTCTCATGTTTTTTATGCCTCCTGGTTATTAATTGAATCCTACAAAAGACGGTATGCGATCACTCCACGACATAGGGAAACTGATGCTGAGTGGGTTCACCACTTCGTTCTTTTTCCGCCCGATACAC